TGCGTGGGGTCTGGGTGCCGTGTTGGCAGGACGTTGCGGGGCTCGCTGTGACAGTGTGAGCTGTATTACTGGTGTCATTTCCTGGTTGCTGCTGCTGCGTCGCCACACACACACACACACACACACACACACACACACACACACACACACACACACACACACACACACACACACACACACACACACACACACACACACACACTGTTCGGGCGAACTGTGAGTGGAGATCCACGGAGCTGGGCCTGGGCATGGTTACATCACTATACTCAAGAAGAAAAAAATGGAAAAAGAGAAATCTCCAACGAGGCGTTCTGGGGCAGCACAGACAGGTCTTTTCTGTGTTAGAGTTTTACTCGCTACAGGCTGTAGCTGTTTGAGGGTTTGTGACTCTGCAGACCGTTTACATGCATAAAAAGCTACATAACACACAAGGGGACGGGTAATAACCAGAAAAGCATGACATGGGACCTTTAAATTATCATATAATACCCCGAGCCAATAATACAATTGAGGAGAATACAGCAGTGCAAGTGAATGAGAGGAGGTGGGGCTATGTGGGTGAGTTTGAGTGTTGACTGGCCAAACCACATCAAGCATTATTTCTGAAACAGTATGGAGCTCAAATGCTTTCTCTTGCCGGTTTACCACAAGGTGAGTTCCTTTTTATCTCCTGCTTTTTTACACATACTCTCTCCAGTACAGGTTAGCTCTGAGTGTTAGCGATGATTGCTAATGTAAACAAAGACCATATTACTTCCAAAACACGTCGGGCATTGTTTCTGATAGCGACGTGGGCGTAAAGCCAGCCCACATTTAAGATATGACGTCATATCGGACGCAAATCTGGATCAGCTCCGTTGTACCCCCGTTTTCAGAGATTTGGGTATGGAGGAAAAGAGAGAGGGTTTTATTTTCTGACACTTTATGAGTTCCCTGACACACTGGGGACACATATTTATGTATATAAAAAGACATATAAAAGTGTATTTCGCATGATAGGAGACCTTTAAGAGTCAAAAGATCTAGAGAAGAATGATAAAGGCAGAAGTTACCCCACTCTAACGTGCAATATAACAGGAGTTCAGTCTACGCCGCCCATCTGTGTGTGTATAACAACAGCCTCTTGTGTATATAAGGTGTGTTTTCCTCACCCTGGCAATATCAGCCCCCATCTGCTCCTGGCTCCTCAGCCTGGCATACTCCTCTGCGATGTGATTGGCTGCCTCCTCTGTCAGCACAGGTGACACAGCCTTGGCGATGTGGATGTACTTCCTCATGAACTCCTTACTCACAATCTTGTCCCTAAAACAAAAACATTTGTTTAGTTAGTTTTCTGGTGACAAAAAGGGACATTTTAAGGTTTTTAGTCCAGATTATGCGTGCATACTTCTTCTTCCTCGTTCCATGCAGCAGGTTGTTGTGCTTCTCATAGATCTGCAGCTCCTCATGCTCTTCTGCGATTGCGTCTGGATCATCTGTAGCCAGGACGTCTACTGTCCCACCCATAGCCATGGCTAAAACACAAAGTAGGGATGAACACCATTAAATAAATACCAATGTCTAACAGAATGCAGTGTTTAAGAAGTCTCGGGTCACCGTACCTGTGCCCTCCTGCTCTCGGGGGTTGCGGTAGCGGTGCATCCTCAGCACGTGGTCTGAGATCTCGCGGTCCTGCTCCGCGTCCATCTGATCCAGGACGATGAAGAGGAGGTCGAAACGGGACAGCAAGGAATCCTGGAGGCCGATGTTCTCCATGGGAGTTTTATACTGGTCATACTGCAAACACAGAGCACGATTAACACATAAGGAGAAAAGAGTAAAGCTAGACACTGTACATTATTCTGCTTCTTTAAGATAAAAATGTTCTGACTAGTGGAGAGAAAATACATATTTGAGGGTTTATTTTGACTAACGTTGTCGGTTTGTGTGTGTTCATTTCTCCTAAATACATCAACAGTTAGCTTGGATAATGCCTCATTTGTATATTTAAACAAAATAGTTCAGATAACTTGATCAAATAAGTATCCAAAATAGTTTTTTATTTTTGATTAAAGGTGGTTGTTTAAAAAAAATATACACATTTGTACTCATTATGAACTGACTGACTTTTCTTAGAGAAGGGTTTCTTTAAATATCAGTCATTTATAGATAATTTATAGATATTATCCTAAATACATGGCAAAACGTTTTTTTTGGCCTGGAAACACCGTTTCCTCTAATGTGCCTTAAAAATTAAGAACATTTAACATGGCTTTATTTAATGTTTACAATTCCCTTCAAAAAACATTTAAATAGAACATATTTAATAGGATCATTTGCATTATTAAACATAATATTTAAGAAAACTTGAAATGGATACAATTATTGTCTTAATGTGGGTTTTTAACTAGGGAAGTTTCCTGGTTGTATCCGTTAAGAACAATCAGCCTCTCGTGTTCCCTCACCCTGCCGTAGACAGGGTTGGCCGCAGCCAGCACGGAGCAGCGGGCGTTGAGGCGGGCGTGGATGCCGGCCTTAGCGATGGTGACGCGGCCCTGCTCCATCACCTCGTGGATGGCTGTGCGGTCCATGTCGGACATCTTGTCGAACTCGTCGATGCAGACCACGCCTCGGTCCGCCAGCACCATGGCCCCCGCCTCCAGTCTGCGCTCACCTGAGGAGGAAAACACAGAACATTGAAGTAGAAGCTAAAGTAAAAGCTGAAAGTGTGTGAGCCGGTGTGTGAGCCGGTGTTTACATGTGTGTGTGTCATACCTGTTTCCTGGTCGGTGGTGACTGCAGCGGTCAGACCCACTCCAGTGGAACCCCGCCCGGTGGTGGGGATGGCCCTGGGCGCCGTGTGGAGCACGTAGCGCAGCAGCTGGGACTTTGCCACCGATGGATCACCTGGTGAACAAATTAGAAAACTAACGTTAACACCCATCTTAATTCAAAGGCTTTATTCTCATAGGCAGAGCAGCTACAGTATAGATATGGAAATGAAAATCTTAAGTTCCAGGCTCCTCCAACAATGCAACATGAATATATACAAGACATTAAACATATTTCAGAAACAAAATCTCCAAAACTAAAATATTTTTTGCAGTTAGCTTGGCAATACGAAACACAGAGGAGGAGCTCTTTTGAGGCAGACGCCATCTCCACTTTGAAGAGTAGCCTTAAGACTAGGGATGCACCGAATATTCGGCCGCCGAAAATTATCGGCCGAAAATGGTTAAAAAGGCCCTTTCGGCTTTCGGCCGAAAGGGTTCTAGCACCGAAAAAATATCACCGAATGTCAGAGAACAGGGTTACGTTGGTAAGCTAACGTGTTGTTGTGATGACGTAATCAAAACGCGGCGACAAGCACGGCGCGCGACCATGCTCGCGGCTGGCTCACAGCCAACATGTCTGCCGCTTGGAGATATTTAAAAATATCAGAGAAAGAGGCGCGGATTGCGATTTGTAAAACGTGTTCAGCTGATATTTCTCGAGGGGGTGTAACTGCAAAGACTTTCACCACTTCGGGATTACTCCACCACTTGAAATCAAAACACCCGGACAAATATGCGGAGTAAGATCAAATCACAAGCACTGACAGCGAGAGACTGTTCAGCGCTGCCTCTCCTGTGCTTGATGAGAAGAGGAGCAGACTTATGGCTGATAAAGCAGAGAAGCTACTGTTCATTAAAAAGAACCTCCCACTTTTCCTTAATAAGTAGACAAGGCTGGCTTATCATAAGCTCATCTAGTTCTACATGTCTACTCTATACCCACTTTCCTGAACAATTTTCATTGTGAGTTATAATTCACCATCTCAGGTTATCATTAGGGGGAAATGACAGCAGCACAGTGTTCAATATATTGTACTTTCGGTATCTAAATGATACAATGTTGTTTACATTGCTCATGAGGACCTTATTTGCAGATTCTTGAAACTGTAATTTAATTTAG